TGCTGCCTCTTGGTTGGAGATCTGTTTCTCAACTTACAGAGTTCTCTATTTGACTGCTTGAGCATCCTTACTACAAGGGATATGCCTTACCCCAAAGTGTGATCCAATAGCCTTTTATGCCCTAGTCTTGAATGTCACAGTCATTTTAATCATATTTTGTTTGATATAAGCAAGTCAAGTCACGAAGTCTGACCTACATTCAAGAACATGTCAAAGAATTTGTGAACATATATTTTTTTCAGTCATCATAGCAGGCAAGTGGGGCTTCGGCAGCCAGCAATAGCCCTCAGGGAAAGAAATGCAGGTGTGTTTGGAAGTCAGGTAGACTGCAATGGTAAGGGTGAGGGGGTACCAGGGAGAGCACCTTTGCAGAAGTAAGGATAAGACCAATGCATTCTGACAGCGAAGGAAAGTAGACTTGACTGGTTGATCGGATGAATTGTGAAGTACACTGCAAAGAGTAATAGAAGGGTGAAGAGTTGGGAAATTTTTAGAATCAATCTGCTGTAATCACTAAGAAATAAAAACTATTTTTAAGTAATTATGATATTCCACTAATTACAGAATGTACCTGTTTCAGGAACATGAGCATGAGTATGCACATGAGAGAAAAGCACATGTCAGAATCCACAAATATAGTAAGTGTACAAGAATTTCAGAGTTTCACATACATGACTTTTATATAAATAAACACCTGTAACTTTTATCTTTCATCTTAGAAGTCATGAAAAGTGAAGCATAGGGAGCAATATGATACAGAGTTTGAGGCTTTGGTCATTACTAGATCTTATCTCCAAATTTGAATAAGTCATTTAATCTCTTTTACTCTCAATTTTCACATCTGTAAAATGGGTATAAAGGCATGGCCTTGACTCTTCTACAGATCTGTTCAAAGATAAATGCAAGCCATTTTAAAATTAAAATGTTATTGAGATGTAAGTTGCCATGAATGTGCAGAAGCGGCAATGAAGCTCGCAGATAGCGTAAAAGAAAATAAAAGCTTTCTCCTTGGGAGTTCAAGTGAGATCAAAGTGGAACGATTTCTTCATTCGTAAAGAAATACCTTTGCTTAAAGACTAAATGAGAAAAATAATGGGAGAAAGAAGCCAGGGACTTGAGTGTAATCCTACACAAACAGATCCTGCTCATGCATGAACAGAAGAAAGAAACACCTCATTGGTCATTTTTCCAGCTGGCGCAATACACCTGGGCACAGAAGAGGCAGCTACCTCCCCGGCCAAGATAGCAATCTGCTTATTGTTCACGCATGGCCATTTCCTAATGGTGTCCACACAGCCAAACAGAGACACAACTTGGAGCTATCAGGCAGAAAAACCCAGGCTGCCACCTGGGGAGATGGAAGCTCCCAATACAAAGAGACGACACACACCTGAGCAGGTCTGATATATATTCCTTTCTGCAGAGGGCAGTGGAATCCATTCCTGGGTCATTTATCATGTTGCTAAAATTAGCTCCTGCTTAGAAGGAATGATCTATCACTGATTACATAATAAAGATAGCTATATTTCTCAGGAGAAACAGGAGAGAGAGATATATTTAGGTGTAGGGCAAATATATCCTTGATATGAAAAATGGATTCATTAAGTATTTAATCTTTATACCATTCCTGTGAAATAAATGCACACATACATCACGTGTCTTAAAGTGAGTTGATAATTAATATTGTTACACTGCAGAGAAATCTTGGCTCTCCGTTGAGAAGTCATGCATGAGTCAGAGACTGCAAGCACAGACACAGCCTGCACCCAGCTCTGAGCACAGGGGCCTCGCCGCACTTTAAAGCCAGGTGCCCTGTCCCATCTGCAGGAAGAAGATGAGTCCCCGACTTGCATCGCAATTTTATCTTGTCTTGGTGAGGCCCTGACAGTCATTTCAAGCCCTGAGAGGCTTTTCTCAGACTGAAGCTTCACACAGTCCAAGGGGTATGGTGACGGCAGTTGAAGAGAGTTTTGCTACCGAAGGGGCTCTGAATTCAGTACGGCGTTCAGTCTCTCCCTTTTCATTAATAAACTTGCGCCTGTTACCCCCCATTTTATTTCCCTCTAACATCACCATCATACAGGAAAAACCTCACTCTTTTTAAAGCCTGTAGCTGTAGTGGAAACATTTTCAGAGATCCTGGCGATAGCATTCTGACTTCAAACAAGCATGACGGTGTTTGGTTGGAGTTTAAACAAACACACAGATTTGTAGCACCTCGGGTGTCAAAGGTCAGTCAAAACAAATGTTGATAAAATGAAAGAGCAAAATCATTTTACGAATAATAGCTTCGAGTAGTGGGTGTTATCTAACTAAAATTTATTCTAAAGGGATTATGATTAGGCGGAAGATACCAAGTTAGAAGGGGTTAAAAGCTCACTCTTTGTATGATTACCTTACACGAGATGCCATGGGGTATGAAGGAAGATGAACCCGCATTCTGGTGCCAGCTTGGATATTATTAGGTATGCAGACAAGGAATTTTACCTCATTTGAATTCTGCTTATCTGTAGTATAAAAATCAAACTCTGATCTTAATGTTCAAGGTTGATTATATGCACAACCTCTAGCACAGCGCCTAGTACGGAATAAGAAGTGAACAAGTATGTGTGACTCTTCATCCTCTATCTCCTCCTGTCTACCTACCTAGACTTCAGGAAGTGTAATCCTAGCACATAGGGGTGCATCTATATTATATGGAGTATGAAAGCAATGCCAAAAACTTTTGCCCTGAATGATGAAAAAAAAAAATTGCTTCCATCTACTTTACCAGGTTGGAAATTAAAATAAATAGGGGTTCACGGAGGCACATTCATGGTCAAAGACCTCAGGATAGATCAGACTCTGCTGAAGTTTACACAAACTCCAGCGGTCAGTGGCTTAACATTCCTCTCATGTTCCACATCCAGCAAGGGTTAGGGGATGGCTTGCTATTTATAGTCACTGAGGGCCCCAAGGCTCCTCTACCTTTTAATGTCACCATCTCAACATGTGATCTACAGGAGGGAAAGAAAAGCATGAAAATAGAGGGGTTGCTCTTCACTGCTTCAATGAGGAAATGCTATGGGACACCTTCACCTATATCTCAAAGAGCCTTCGAAATGCAATCCACCAGGTGCCTGGAGAGGAGGAGACTGGCTCCTGTCAAAGTGGTGAGTAAAGACCGAGGGCACCTGGTGCCACCAAGTCCAGGGACGCTTCCACCAAGTCCCAGCCCTTGCAGCATAACACCCCTCCCTGAGGTAACGCAGCTTTGCACAGGACCCCGAACCTTTGCCAGCACCAAACCCAAGCCTGTCCCCTCCCCTACGTCAATCTTGTGAGCAGCACTGAGAAGTTTCAATTATTAACTGTCCTAAGTAACTCATACACCTTCCCCAAGTCGCCAAGCTTCTGGGCGTTCCACGGCAACGTGATTGTTATTTTGTCACCAGACCCACCTTATGTTCACTTCAAGGTAAACTCCCTGCATAGTTGATGTTCTATTTTCCCTCCTTTCACAGAAATGCTTCATCGTTATCTCCCTTATTTGCTTCCCATCTGTGGTTGACTGATTGCATTAATAGCCCCAATTTTTCACCCCTTCTCTGGAGTTAGGCCCCGTGTGGTTTTGCATGGCCTCCTGCTAAACAGGGGGTGCTGATTTCTCCATGAATCAAAAAAGTGAACAAGTGCTTCATGGAAGAGCCCACAGTCAAGGAGATCGGCCTGTCAGGGGAGCGGACAGCAGCGGGACTTTCCCAGCTGCGAAGACTTGGGAACAAGACTCCACTGTGGGACTGCGTGGTTCAAACTGCTCGCAGCAGCACCCCTGCTGGGGGCTCAGGGTATGGCGGACAAGGCCTTGAATCTGAAGATAGGGCGGGAGCTAAGCCAGCAGCAGCCAGGCACTGGATAAGCAGGCTGAAGTGTGAGCCAAGAGTCCCGGAGGGCAGTTGAAGGACAAACAAAAAACAGACAGGAGAGGTGTCCTGGGGGCACCACCAGGCTCTTTGGTTGCTGTGTGAGAGACAGCAGGACATTTCAGAAACACTGACAGGTGGGGAGGGAGATGCGGATCTCTAAGTTCAGTTGGAGCTGGGTGAGACTCAGATGACTCTTGCCTGGCAGGGGCTGACATCTGCCACCTGGGTCACGCATGTTTCTTAAGAGTGGGTATCTAGGAGCCTCTGACGCTCTGGGTCGCATTTCTGGCGGTGCATCTGGTCATTCGCCACATTTAAAAACCTGTGCCTGGGCTCTACCCACTAACTTTTTTATCGAGTTGGCGCCGTTGGTAGAATTATTAATAATGTACAGCCTGGGTTGAGAAGCATTTAACTACCCTGAGAATTCTTCCACACTTACTCCTCTAAACCAGTTTAGGTAATGTTTAAAGAAAAAAAAATGAGTGAGGAAAATAACTGTTGACAGTAACTTTTTAATTTACGGATTACACACAGATCCCTGGGGATCTGTAAGGCGACCAGGTAGAGCCCCTTGCCCCTAGCCTTAGTTTGTATGCCCTACCATGGTAATGATCTGATTCCTTGACAATGCAAGAAGTGTACCACAGACCTTGAAAATACTTCACACTAAAGATGTCCTTTAACAGGCAGATTTAAAAACTTATCATGCAACCTGAAAATGACAAAACAATACATTTTAAAATATTTTCTCACCAAATTTTGAAACACTTAAGGTTTTTAGTGCAAAGTATTCCATGCTAAGGAACAAAGAAGAGGGAAAATGCTAGGATCCAGGGGGCAGGGAAGTTCTTTGGGACCTGGCAGATCTTGTGAGGAAGGGACACCTTCACTTCAGGACTGAAGGGAAAAGAGCAGCCCGTGACCATCTGGACACAGCTTTCCGAGCAGCGTGAGTGCTCTGCAGAGGACTTGCACTCCACGCTCAACGGAGAGAACAGTGCAGCTTATCGGGGAGGCTCACAGCAGTTCACTGCCCCAAATATCAAGCATCCCAACTGCCTGGAAAGAAGAAAGCAAATCCCACACACAAAATGATAACTGAGAGCCAAGTATATTTTAAAATTTAGCACAGCTGATGTTACAGACAATATTCTGGGGATGATACAAAGTTTTTCTGCATAATATTTATGAAGAGCAGAGACATGCATGGCTTTAATCAGTTTTCCCTATGAGTGATACAAAATAATCTTTTATTAATATTATTCTGAATTTGTTACAATTGTACATGATCTCAGAAGACCACATGGAGAACATATTATATAAATCAAAGGAATAAATGAATATGAAAGAAAAGACAATTACATGCCCAGAAAAAAATTTGTGCCCGTTCTATTATACTGTAAAACACTTTGTAAATGTAAACATTGCACATGAATGTTAAATAAATATATAAATATACTCTTCCTCTGGGTTTTTAAAAAGAATCTCAGTAGGCAAGAATTATCATCCCATATTTAAAAGCTGTCTGTGGCCCATGTTTTGCAGACTCTAACAGTGGCTTTAGGGAAGCCAGCGTCTCAATAGAAATGACACAGCTGATGGCTGGGGGCTTGGGTAAGAAGAAGATAGAAATCCTTACTTCGCCAGTTAGTAGCTGTGTGGCCACAGACAAGATACATAATTTACCCAAAGTCTTCTTTTGAAATGTGTAAGGCGGGATGATTCTTCCCATTTCAAATGGTTGTCACTGGAACAAAAGTCATTAAGTCATTGGACTTAGAGTAACAGCACAGTGCCTGTGACATGCTCATGGCTCTCATGGTTGTCATGACCGATATGTCACCAGAGGGCATTGTTGTGTGGATGGATCACACATATGGATGCTTGGAGATACACAGACAGCTGCAGGACAGAGCGGGACTATGGCATGGTGGCTCTTCTCAGATTGGGAGACTTGGAGTGGGCAATCACCCTTTCATTGCTGGGCCTCTCAGTGCTGCAGCAGTTAAAAATTCAGGGGCTGGACATCAGTCTATTGCCAACTGATTATGTGTTTCAAGCCTAGTGAACTTGGCTTCCAATGCTTTATTAAGGGATTTGACAAGTGCTTTATGAATGGCTTCTGGAGAGAATCTTTCTGAAACAAAGAGTCACTTGGAAACTTATAAAGGATACCTGAAGCCATACAAGCAAGAAACCAACCGCAAAATAATTATTCCCTTTTGAGAACTACAGAGATTAAATTTTCTCCATGATGCAAAAAGATACTCCACAGTAGGCATGTTTCCTATTCTGCCAGCAGGAGCATCAACATATTTTTTCCCTTTCCATTCAAAACAAAGTTGATTAGTACCTTAATTAGATGTAGTGAGATGTAGCCTAGGTAACAGCTTGGAATTTAATGAAGAGAGATGAAGGGAAACCCATTACCAGGAATGATCCACTCACACCTCATCTGCTGGTGAGGGTGCCATTGTAGGGTCCAGTGCTGTCTATCCTGAGGTTCACTCCGCTCAGCAGCCATGGACCATCTGTGGAGTGGTTCAGCGAAATAGCAACAGCGTGTGCTTCACCCTGGTTTCTTCTTGACAGGCAGCAATCCTTCAAGTCTCTGAGAGCTTTAAACAAAGGTGTAGATGTTTCTTTATTGACATCATCAAACACCCACAGTAGCAGCATGACAAATGCCATTCCCTGTTGGACTAAAAAGACACAAAAGGTTTAAAATTCAGGCAGCCTCTGTTAGCCGCTGTAGCTGAGTAAGAAATTATCTTGCAAACACAGATTCTTAAGGGTCTAGCCTGTATGCATACAAGCATACTCGATAAATAAATTTGTAGAATAGAAACATTGCTGAGTTCATAGAAAAAATTTTAAAAAGTAATGAGCCCAGAGTTAGGACTTAGGTTTAAACCCCAAATCAATTAGTGAGTAGTTGAGTAACTTTAAGTGTCATTATTTCACTTCCAGAAAGGGTCTACTCACCTATAAAATAGGAGTGATAAAATGTATTTCCAGTTTCTAAGAACATCATGGTAAAAACCAGAACAGAGAGTCTGTGTGGAAGTCCTATGCAAACTGCAAGAGGGGCTGTAGATAAGTGGTACTGTTGTTACCCGTTCCTAGGAATTACTGAACACCATATTCTTAGACCATATCAGCAAGCTGGCACCTGACAGATGAACGCAGTACTACGGCATGGCGCACTGTCTCCAGCTGTTTTCACTGTCAGCTGATAGGATGGGTCCAGGCCACCCAGTTAGCACACATCCTTGATGGACAGCATTTTTCTACAAGTGGAGAGGATTGGTGCCTCCTTTCCATCTCTTTCCACAAACCCATACTGCCAAACAAATGTCACTCCAAATTCCAAAACCAAGGAAAGAGAAATCTAGAAAGTATCGAGACACCTCTCTTTAGGTTTTCACATTTTTGTTAAAAATATTTCATAAATAAGTCTCAATTCTGAAGTCTCTGCACAGCAGTAATTATTCATCATTATTTAGCAGCACTTGCTGAGTTGGTCATGAGGTAAGTTTTAAACACTGAGAAATTGAGACTTGGAGAAATGTGGTAACTTTCCTAAGGTGGACACATATAGGTAGAAAGTGGCAAGGATGAGACCTGATCCTAGGGGTCTGCAAAGTACAAAGTCTGACTATTTCATTATCATGTTTTTCCTGAATAACTACTCTATAATTATTATTAGTTTTGCCTAGAATCTGCCTTTAAGATAGAATGTTAAATAAAACCTAGAATTCCTTCTGCGTCAGTGTAGACTCCAACTGATCCATTTTTTTCATCCAGTGTTTATAAAGTATCTACTGTCTGCCAGGTGCTGCACTGGGGAGGACATAGTCTTCGGCTATGAATGAGTCTAGTTTCTCAATTCTGCATAGCTCTTAGCCAAGGATAATGAATCAACTGATTACAACTTCCTTCCTAGGATATGCTGATGTGTACTGTTCTTCAAATTAAAATACAAACTCATGAGGATTTTCTTTATTGCTCATAAAAAAGGTCCATCTAAAAAAAGACTCATTTAAGTGCTAATTTCATTCACTGCCTGTGAGGATAAATATTTGTGAGGCGCCTACCAGGAGTCAGACACTATGCTAACCAATCTAAAGATAAGATTGCATTTATAAACTCTCTGTTGACTCAGAGATGTTCCACAAGTACTAGGGAATGCCTAATATGAATACATGTTAATTTTTAGCTAACCATTTGAATGGAGAAAGAAAATATCTATGATAAAATAACTAGAATATATTCCAAGAATTTGAGCCTATGAACTTTAAACTTTCAGGAAGACCTTTTGAGCTGAAAACAACCCATTTAACTCTGTTCTGCAGAAGTATTGACAGCATCACAGCTAAGAGCGGGATCCAGAAACAGAAGTACAGGGAGAAATGAAAAAGAAGCATGAGCAATCCAGAGACTAATAGACTTCTTGAACTGCTATCTTCCACAGTTTCTGAGCACCCAGATCAAACTGAGCTTTCCTTTTCCTGAGCAGTGATACCACTGTGTACTATAACACTTACTTTCAGATTTCTGAGGCATTTCTTTGGAAAGTGTAAACTCTATAACAGAAATAGCTCTACTAAATTCCATTATACCTCAAGAGTGAACAAGACAGTTCTGGGCACATTACAGAGCTAAATAAGTACTTGTTAATTAATAGATTAAGATTATTGGAAGTGTAATGGTACATGAAGGATCAGAAAATCAAAAACCAAAGCAGAGATACTACCTAAAGCCATTACCCTCCATTTGTTTCAGGCAGTTGAAATATAGTGGCTAAGATGACAGGTTCTGTCACTTTCTGTATCTGAATCTTTGGGCAAATTACTTAATATTTCTGTTCCTCAGTTTACTATCATCTCTAAAAATTAGGATAATAAGGGTGTCTATATAGAGAAATTGCTGCAATAATTTAATACAAGAACAGCATTCAACACTATCACATAACAATATAATGTTATGTATTCTTATTTGTGACTCTGTGACTCATTTCTTTTGTTTGTTTGTTTGTTTGTTTGCTTTTCTTCTGGTACCAGAAATCAAACTCATGACCTTGCGCTTGCCAGGCAGGCACTTTGCCGCTGAGCTAAATCTCCAGCCCTCTGTGACTCATTTCTGAGTATCAAAAAATCCTTTAAAATTAGAAATGATACAATAGGTTAATTTATTTCAAAGACATTAGGAAATTTGGTCCTTACAATCACTAAGCTTACTTTAATTAAATTCAACCTTGACTTCCAGATAAAGATGGCAGATTGAACAAATGCACCCACATCTGCTTCCTTCAAATACCACTAAAACACAGGGGGAATGATCTTTTAGAGGGTACACCCACAGAATTTGGAGAATAAGACAGAAAGACGACAGCAATAACATTTCTTTGGTGAGACAATCACATTTATGGAAACTGGACCTAGAACTGTTCTGGTACTGATTGCAGAAGAGTGGAGAAAGATAGACTGTGTGTTTGGGAGGCAGATACAGTAAAGCACCCAAGAGATATGGGGCAATAATGATAGATCCAGCCCATAAGCAACTGGCATCCCAAGTAGGACAGAGGAGGAATAATATATAAGTACTTTCCAAAATTAATGATAGATACCAAACCACAGTTCCCAGGCCCTTAAAGAACACTGAGCAAAATACATTTTTCGCCTCCAAGGATCTGCCAGACTACAATCATATCATATAAAACTAGAGGCAAAGAGAAAATGGAGAAGAAATCCGTAGAGAAAATACACATTCCATACACAGAAATTAAAAACTAAAGGTAAGAAGAAATAGAGTACATTTCTCATCAGAAACTGTGCAAACCAGAAGTTACTAGAATGTTGTCTTTGTTGCTGAACATCAAGAATTTGTGCTATGTTTTGAAAATCATTTGTCCCCTCAACTCATGCTGAGGCTTGGCCCCTAATGTGACAGACAGTATGGGAGATGGGTCCCAGTGGGAGGTATCTGAGTTATGGGCATAGAGCCCTGATGAATAGATTCATGGCATCTCGCAGGAGTAAATGAGCTCTCAGAGTCTTGCAGAATTGGATTAGTTACCATGAGAGAAGACCGTCTCTTATGTTACCTCTCTTTCTCAGGTACCTGTTTGCACTTTGGCTTTTTACCATAAAGCAACCAGATGCAGTGACCCAGTGGATGTCTGGCCTCTAGAACCATAAGCCAAAACACATCCCTTTTTTATAAATCATTTCCTGGCAGGTATTCTCTTATAGCAACAGAAATGGCACAAGACAACCTGATCATCCAGAATTTCATATCCAATGAAAACACTTTTCAGAAAGGAAGGAGAAATAGCAACTTCCCCAGTCCCAAACAGAAAACAACAGCAACAACAAATCTGAGAATCCACTGCCAAGAGACCTGTGCTGGCAGAAATGTTAAGTTTCTTCAGGGACAAGGATTATAATAGCAGATGGGAACTTGAATCCATGTATAAAAATTAAGAGCACTGGAAATGGAATAAAGTAAACATTAAATGTACTTTTTATTTCTAGTTGCTCTGAAAGATACCTATCTAGAGAAAACATAGTAGTTTTATATGTTCTTAATATAGATTTAGAGCAAATATGTGACAATAGGGCAAGAATGGAAGGAAGGAATCAGGGATCTAGTGTCCTTAGATAAGTATTAAGCAGAAGAATATTTGAAAGTAGACTTTCATCAAGATGTGCATGGTAAAATCCTAAGGCAACTCCTAAATTTGTTCAAAAGTGTATATATAGTAATCTAATAGTAGAGACAACACTGCCTTATTAAAAAAAAATTCTCAATCAAAAAGGGGCTAAAAGAGAAGAAACCAATAGGACAAATAGAAAGCAGCTAGTTGGGTGGGAGATTTTAATTTGATCATATCAACAAGCACTCTAAATGTATATCACACTAATAAAAAGGTAACGATTTTTAGGCTATATGTAAAGCACGACCTAAATACTACTGTCTACAAAATCCACTTTAAACATAAATATATAGACAGGTTAGAAGGATGGAAAAAATTATACCATATGGTCACAAATTAAGAGAAAGTTGAAGCAACTTTATTAATATCAAAGTAGGTTTCAGATAGGAAAAATTATCAGTAGAAGAGGCTATTACAATGTAATAAAGCATTTAATTCTCTAAGAAGACAGGGTAATTAATAATTTTATGCCTATAAATTCAATAGCTTATTGCAGATGGATAGATTCCTAAAAAAACATCTCATCAATGCTATCAAGAGACAACATAAAAGTCCACCTAACCTCCTACCAATTCTCAAAATTAAATTCATAATACTAAATTTTTTTTTTGAAAGAGAAAACCTTGAGCCCTGATGACCTTACTCATATTCAATGGTGAAATACCGAACTGGATGTTTTGAGTTCAGAAACAAGAAGTTTTTTCTGTCTCTACTTAACATTATGCTGGAAGTCCTAGCCAATTTAACAATGTAAGAAAAAAATAATAAAGGCATATGAATTAAAAAGAAAGAAGCAAATGAAGCCAAACACGTAATAGTAGCTCCTCTACGGGTCCATGTACAAGCAGCTTAAATCTTACCTATGATAACAGAAACAAGTGATTGCCTCACGAAGGGGGACTGACTAAAAAGGTACAAGGAACTTTTTGGGGTGATGGAAATGTGCCATATCTTGATTGGTGGTCAGTTATATGAATGTATTCAAGTGCAGTAGTCCCCCTGTGTGTCGGGATACAAGCTAAGATCCCAAATAGATACCCGACCTGCTTATTCCTATACATACAGACCTACAATGAAGTTTAATTTATAAAACAGGCACAGTGACAGATTAATACCTACTAGTAAAATAGAAAAATTATAAAAGATACTATAATAAAAAGTTTTTTCAAATTTACAAATTTTTTAGTTCTGCAATTTTCCATTTAATATTTTCAGGCCACATTTGAATGCCAGTGTTAAACCAGTGAAAAGCAAACCCCCAGAGAGGGTGACATTATTGTATTAAAATTCACTGGACTGTGTATTTAATATGCATCCATTCCACTGTATGTAAATTATACTTTTAGTTTTAAAACGGTTATAAAAAACTCTTAACAGTAGGTGAAAGAAGCAACTCACAATACTTTCCACTTTATGTAACATTCACAGGCAAAGTGAATTCCATCCTCAGCACCACACACAAAAAGAGGCAAAGTGAATCAATATATTGTTTACTGTGAAATTCTTTTCTAAATAATCTGCCACAGAGCTGAAAGTGGTTTCCTCCGGGAAGGCGAAACTGGGTAGGCTGTTATTTTTCCCCATCAAACTACAACTATTTGGCTCTTAAAACTCTGTGCCTATACACCTGATAAAAATAAAGACTTAAAGAAACATGTACCATTTGCAGGCTGGTGACATTCGCTTCAGTAGAGGGCCGCTGACATCCACTTCACATAGGAAATTATTTCCAGTGGGTGAATCTGGCAGAAACTCTGTCCAGGGACAGAGTCTACTTGCTGGAGGTTGTGTCACACGGGCCAGCTTGTTACCAGAAGAAAATATTGTGAATGTGAGCATTAAATTACAGTGAGGGAGCTGAATTGTGACAGAAACAGATCTGTACTTCCTAATTACAAAGTCTCGCTTCCATCCAGCTGACACAAATGTGAAGTCAAATTAAATGCTGTCTAATTAACCGGCATGCACAGATTTTAAGGCCAGAGACTAGGTATGATTCAGCTGAATAAAAGAAACACAAGGACTTGTAAACTGTCAACCCAGATCTGCCGTCTCAGTCCGCTGCTACGAGGTTAGGCCATTTTGTTTTCACACATCTTGCCTTTCAGGGCTCTGCTTGTTATATTTACAGAAAAAGGCAATGCTGGTAAACAGTCTCACGCAATGGGTGTGAGAGTTGATAGGGCCCTATTCAAGCTCTGAACTCCCCTGAGGAGCTGCCAAAAGTTGTTCTGAATGGCCCAGCTGACAGGGTGATGACTGATACAGGAAAAACAAACAGCTCTGGTAATTCATGAAAACACACAGCTCCCAGACAAATCCAAGTGGCGAGTGACAGTTCAGATAATGGAATCTTGGAAGCTTTTCTTAAAGGTTCCTCTCTACAATTATTCTCTTAATAGGCTGTCCCCTAATGTAGCGGGATCTTCAACTTGTTTCCACAAAAAATATTTATGATGATGTCTTGTGGAGAGGTGCTGGCCTTAGGCTTTCATGGGATGGTCAGTTTTCCATGCTGTTGCCCCTTCCCAGAGAAGGAAGGATTGTAGTGGTTTGTATCTGCTATTTAAAGAAATAAGATCTCCTATTTCCAATTCCATTACTAGAAATATTTTTGAAGCATTCTTCTTTCATTTCTTTCCTTTATAAACCATTTGCCGCAAACCTTTGATTAAAAAAAAATACTGGCTTACACACTCAACTGCTAATAATTTTAAAAGAGAACGATTTAAGTGTGGCTGAAGTCAATTTCCAATTCACATAGCCCATTTTGGGTTCATTTCCTTAAATCAAGCGTGACAAAGCAAGAAAGTATCAATTTGTCAGTATTTTGCTTTTGTACTCAATGGTTTTTCATGAAATGTGTTGTGGTTGCTATAAAAATGGTCTACTTCTTAATCAATGTTTTAGGAAGAAGGAAAATAAAGACATATATAAAGCATGCGTAGGCACACAAATACTCTCTGATCCTATGCCAAGAGAAAGAGAGGGAAGGAAAGGAGAGAGAAGGCAGGAGAGAGTACACCGCAGCTGGGGGTGGTAGGTGAGTAGAATTTTCCAGAGCCCTGTGTTACAGACCCTGGCTGCTGTCAGGTGAGGCAGGCTGTAGGAAACACAGACTCTGGCCTCCTACTAAATGAAAATTTGCATTTTAACAAGATCGAGGGTGATTCATATACACATGCAGGTTTTAAGAAGCTCTGTAATTTAGATGACTGATTGTCCTTAAAAGCTTAAGCTTTGTAGTTGTAAAAGCGTACAAGTGTGATTGTCCATGTTTTACAAAAATAGTTTAAAACTGTATCATAAATTATTTCTATGTCAAAGTAGTTGAATAAGTCTCCATCCAAATTTTCTTATTTTCTTCTCCCTCTCCTGAAGAAATCTTAGAGTCCTTGAGCTCCAAGGAGGCTCATTCTTCTCAATCATTTGCTTTCTACCCTAACCTCTTGAAGACACATCCAATACAGTTTTGAGGGCAAGGCATTGTACTACAGCTTGGATTTTTAAAACTCTACCAAGGTATAAACCACAGTATTGTTATAACAGTCACAAAGATGTTTTTAAAATCCTCTCGGGTATAGTATTAACTACTGAACTCTACAGTACTGATTAGAGGACCTTAAAAGAGAGATAAGCGAAACATTAGAACAGCTCAGAGAACAGAAGGGACCTTCACCTATCCATCAAATGCAGCAAAAATTCACCACTTGGATCTCATGTCTTTAGTTTTGTGGCAGTCAGTATGGTATTTACTATTCTTTAAACTTGGAGGGATCTCGTCTAACTCTCAACACGTTTCCTGGGTACTGATACATGTAAACACATATACACTTTTAAAATATGGCTCAAAATACGGTAAACAAAGGCAAAAGACAAATGTTAAATCAGAGAAGACACTGGCAACACATAGTTTTATAAGAGCTCATTTCCTTAACTGACAAAGGGTTTACATTAATTCAGCTGGCAAAGACATTTAATGGAAAAATGGACAATTCACACACAAAAACAGGAAACACAAAGATACACAAAATGTACAACCTTATACATAGTTAAAGACATACAAATCAAAGTAGCTGGGAAAGAATATTTTTAGCTATCATGTTGGCATAAATTATGTTGTTTGATAACACCAACTGTGGGTTCAGTTCCAGAAATTCTGCAGAGCCCCTGACACAGATCCACTAAGTGTGTGGGTTCAGGCCTGAGGGTAAGGATCAGCTGCCCGAGAGAATCTCCAGGACAGAGTGACAGCAGCCTTATCAATTCACACACGGCCCTTCGCTTGGACTAGCTGGCCCTCAAGAGCTGCCAAACGCTGCCATGGAAAGCCCTTCTTGACTCTCCCACATCTACCTACTATGTCATAACTGTTCCTTTCCCTCATTTGCCATCAAGGTAGTTCGCTCGTACAGGGGAAGGGCACTTGTGTTATAGATTTTTCAACAACTTGAAACTTAAAGATTACCAGTGAATGCATGCTCAATGTAAGTCACCAAATCTTTGCAAATACCTCAGACAAACTTAGTATGACGTAGTCTGTGCTGCAGAGCCATCTTTCTGCTTCTACTGCATGACCAGCGTGGCAGCTTTAGGAGCTGTGCAAAAGCTCTGGAGGAAGAGGGTGATAATCTTATAAGCAAGTGACTTCCACAGCCCAGGGTTCTGATTCTGCCTTATTCTTTTCACACATCTGGTGAATTCCCTGATGAGAAAATGGATCAAGCCTATGAGTATGGCTAGTGATTCAACTCAAAACGCCTAGAGAATGGGTCAACTCAAAAAGAATGGGTCATCTGGCCATTTTTGTTTCCCAAGTGACTCATATCTTAGTTTAAAAAAAGAAAAGGTGGAGAGAAATAAATGTGCTAACACAGCCACCAGTGTGCCTCCTCTCTGCACCACCTGCAGGCCGATAAGGAGTAAGAGGACAAAAGAAACCTCAGTGTAAGAATCCATGCTGCATACTTTGGAACAGGCTGCACTGGGGACTTTAGCCCCCTTCCATGGCCTAAAGAGGGAATAGCAGAAAGGATAAAGGACTCTGAAGTTATGGATTGGAGCCGAAGTTCTACACCAGGGTCTATGAAATCATAGCCAATTAACTTATTCTCTCTGGAACTCAATAACTTAGTCAGGACCAGCTCTGCTACGCTTCCATAACAAATAATCCTCCCAATCTCAGTGATTATACACAATACTGGTTTATTCTACTCAGATGAAGTCTCTTGTGAATCAGGTGATCTCCAGGATGGCTGTCCTCCATGTAATAGCTGGATGCCTCTAATTACTGACAATACCAGGTAAACACATGACAGGGAAGAGAGCACATGAAGCACTCGAACCTACTCTTCCATACTGAGTCTGGAAGTCCCATATGCTATTTTGTCTACTACTGGCCAGGACCTAGTGATAGAGTCCCAAGCTGACCACTCCCACACAAGGGGGTTAGAGAATACAATCTTCTTGTGTGCCCAGAAAGAAAAAAAATGTGGCTTCTATAAGACACAGTCAATGTCCTTGTCTGTAAAATGAGGACAATACCTACCTTACAGTGCCGCAGAAGGATTACTCAGGAATGCATGCAAGGGTATGAGATAATCAACCCTCAAATGGTACTTAGTTATTTTCACTGAAGCTGATAACTCAGCATTTGTTGGGTCATTCAAGAGGCTTATTAAATTGTGAGGACCCCAGGTCTTCAGAGAGTAGAGCACTGCGGTGGTGTGAACCAGTGTGCCCATCAGCATGTCCATTTGTCACAGGCAGAATCCTCACTCCTGGAATATGGCACCTAGGAGAGGCTCAGGGTGACTGTGGGCAGTGCAAACCAACTCAGAAGGGCCTGGTCACCATTCCTAAACAGTGATATCCCAGTGAGACACCTAGACAAGCATATTATAATGCCTTCAGATTTGTACCAGCAGCCAAGGAAAACCAAAAAACCCCAACGTGAGTGTGTGCTCAGCTTTGCTGTTGTTGCTGACGGAAGTACAGTGTACCTCAGTTCACCAGTTCAACTCTGCATGATTCTGTTCACAGACCACACTGGATGAGAACTGAATCAAATGTCCCCATAAGGTCAACATTGAACTTAACCACTGAATTTTATTCAATTTTCCCCAACACAGTTTGTGACCAGAATCACGGAAAGAATTGAGTTCGTGAACTGAGGTACCACTGTTATCATGTATCCCTTGAAGTTGTTTTGGTATCATCTGTATAACCATATATGGTAATGGTTTCCTTAGTTTGGTTAACTATGTTCAATCTATGTATAATGTGAAAGTCAGATGACATACTTTTAAATAGGTGATTAATTAAACTTTAACTCCGGATATGAAAGGAAGAGAGAGAAAAAACTAAGAATATTACATGGCAACCCTAGAAGGAGAAAATACAACTATATTACATTAATGTTCTTAGCTAAATATTCTCATTATTTTATATATTAATTCTATAAAGTCCTCATTCACTCCATCCAATCTTCAGTTAAATACCAGAGTCAGAAGCTGGGTGTGGTGGTGCATGCTTGTAATCCCAGCACTCGGGAGGCTGAGGCAGGAGGATCCTTGTGAGTTCGAGACCAGCCTGAGTTACAAAGTGAGCTCAAGGCCAACCTGAACTGCAAAATGAGACCCTGTCTCAAAAAGACAAAAATAAATAAAAAAAAATAAAAATAAATTCTACAGTCAGCCATAAATTACCCACTAGAATGATGTCCTAGAAATTATTATTAACTACTGTGATTAGATTTTTTCAATGATTATAAAGAAGTGATATTGAAATATAAAACTCTTTTCTAGACTAAGTTCATCTTTCCATAAGAGTCTTGTTAATGATAAAAATACACCTTTTCATGAGTTCTACATTTTCAGTTGGAGTAACAGGTGATATGAAAATATAAAATTAGTCTTGTGTCTTTATCAAAATAATTTATGTTATACTATTTACTTGGACTATTTTATTCAAATGTAAAAAATTATAAGATGACACCAAATAATTTATACAGTCACCTACCCAGGCTAAGGATGGATAAAGCATTTCTAATGTCCTTTAATTCACGTGGTTTTACTTCAGTTGGAGCCCACAGCACTGTCCTGTGAAGGTCCCTATCAAGGATCTACACCAGAAAGGCCCAAGAGTCAGTGGTGGAAGCTAGAAAGTCTGGGTAGGGAGAGTGAAGGGTCAGTGCCAGGAAGCTGAGAGATCTGCATTGGAAACCAGGAAACAGCATCCAAGATGAGGATGAGGATTTAAGCTCTCTCAAAGGAAGAGGACCAGGAGCATAGCAGGGTTTGTCTAGAGAGGTTCGCCACCTCTTGTCACTCAAGGGGGCTCAGTGGACCCCATTCTGCAGTGTTCCACATGCTCACTTTACGCCTCAGGACCCTTTTTTATGACACTGGCCTCTGACATGCTGCCAATGTAAAGTGACATAGCATATTGAAAAATGATAATATGTAAAACTATGTGTCGACTAATTAATAGTCAACGTGAGTGGGACCGCCCAACTGAACGGAGTCATGGTGGAAGAGCTGGGCATGGAAGACCCACCTGAGGATTGCTGCCAATGACATAAAAGGAGAATGGGAGGGGAAGATTGTATGCTCCTGATTTTCTTGAAGAAGCTGCTTTTTGGCGGTTTTTCTTCAAAGGAGCTCTGGCTGCTGTCTTCCTTTGAGAGAACTTCAAGCCCCATCCTCATCTTGGATGCTGCTTCCTGGTTTCCAGCGCAGATCTCTCAGCTTCCTGGCACTGACCCTTCCTTCTTCCCACCCAGACTTTCTAGCTTCCACTACTGGCCCTTGGGCCTTTCCGGTGCAGATCCTTGGTAGGGACCTTCACAGGACAGTGCTGTGGGCTCCGAGCCCTTGACTCTGGGTCTCCAGCACACAGACAGACATTCTGTACTCTTCTACATCTGACTCTAGTAAGCACTGACTAATACCCTGTAATAATATATAGATCTAAATCCCAGGATCTAATGACACTTTCAAATGTTAAGATAGAAAGACAACGATTATGTTGTCCCATTCTAAACTTGCATCCTTCTTAGAATAATGATCACCATATACAATAGTGTCTGATCATCATATACAATAGTACAAGATCAATAGTCAATAGATATCGAACAGCTACTGTGTGCAGATATGGATATAAGGACGTTCTGTAAATTAACTCACATTCCCTCCTCAACAGCCTTGTAAGGCCAGAATTATTAAAATCCCATTTTATAAATGAGAAAATGAAGGCCCAGAGAGATGATGTTATCTAGGTGAGGTCAGACAACCAGTAAGGGGCAGAGGCTTTATTACCAATCTTGCTACACTGTATATATATTATATACTACTTTGAAAAAATTTAGAAATTTCAATGGATCCTTTAAAATCCATTCCCTATACTAAGTTTTATCTCTGATATACACAGCTGAATGAGAACACATAGCATGTGAATGGTATGCTAGGCTTGCACACGGTAGCTGTTCAATATCTATTGACTATTGATATTGTACTACTGCATATGATGATCAGCCACTATTGTATATGGTGATCATTATTCTAAGAAGCATGCAAGTTTAGAATGGGACAACATAATTGTGGTCTTTCTATCTTAACATTTGAAAGTGTCATTAGATCCTGGGATTTAGATCTAAGAAAGGTTATCAGGTGAGTGACTCCATTTGTATGAAGCTGTTTCTTTATCTCTAAAATGGTGAGGCATCAACACTTGTGGGCTGAACCGTGTCCCTACTTGTATGCTGAAATCATGTGTTGGAGTCCTAACTCTCAGCACATAAAATGTGACTGGATTTGTAGTTCTGGTCTTTAAAAGAAGTAATCGAGTTCAAATGAGGCCTACAGAGTGCATCCTATTCCAATCAGACTGGTGTCTTTTGTGAAGATGGCCCATCCACAAGCCTAGGAGAGAGGTCTCATGAGAAACGATCCCTGCCAACACCTCGATCTTGGACTTGCAGCCTTTAGAAATATGTAAAAATAAATTTCTGTTGTGTAAGTCATCCAGCTGGTGACATTTTGCTGCAGCACCAGCAAATTAAAACAAACACATTCAAAATGAGTAACACAGTGCCTGGCAGAGTTCAGTACTTGATCAATGGTTTTACCATTAGTTCAGTTGTGAATACAAATGGACACACAGCCTTTGTTTTAGCTTAAAAAAATGTGTCCTAACATATTAAAACAATCTAAAAATACTATTTCTAATCAATAAACTTTTTTTGAAACATTTTTCTTTTAAATTTTTTCCCCAAAACTTTAGAAGACAAAATATTGTTCCTTTTTCAAACTAATAGACTATCAGACGTTGGGTTAAAATCAGTTTCCATAATTGTTATGGAATGTGATAATCCATAATATAGCAATGTAATGATTAATGTAATCATCAGATGGCAATGTTGTAACTGCATGTGACTTTGGAAACCTTCTTTCTTATAGCTATCACAGCCTCTGAACCTGGAGTATCAACACATGCTGACAGTTAAACTCAAAGATCATGGCAGAAAGAGAATTGGAATATACAAACACAGCAGTGCAGGTGAGAAATAGTACATTGAGCTTTTCTTGAATGAAACTACCTGTGTCTGACCTGGTGCATAAATTTCACCCCACAGGCCAATTCTAACCAGTTTCCTTGGACTCTTACGCTGAGAAAGGTTCCCAGGCCACACCTTGGATCAGGGCAGGCTACCAAAATGGAATAGAGATGGTGATTGGGATACAAGAGAACAGCAGTTGAAGGGCTGTATGTCCCCTACTCTGGACATTGGTTAATGGGTTCCTATGAGCCCCATCTTTTAATACAAGACTCCTAGAGAACCAGCCAATCATACACACTGGATGTCATTCAATACCCTGTGCAAGAAAGCAGTTCTGAATTAAGAAGTAAATGTTTTTCATTACAGGTGTATTTATCTTTGTTATTTCATCAGTTTTTTGTTTTTTTTGGTACCAGGAACTGAACTCGGGACCTAGCACTTGCCATGCAAGCACTTGTGCCACTGAGCTATATCCCCAGCCCTGTTATTTTAAAACATAAGAAAAACCTGTAGTTTACACTAACAAGGGCCATCAGCTGGTCAATTTTCAGGTCGCTCAGGCACTGTTTAATGCTCAACAAATGCACATTATTATGGAATATCTGAGAACAAATTCTGAGCCTAGAGGGGAATGTATGGATCCCAGAAGCTCAAATATGGTTTTCTTCCATGTAAGAACCTAAGCTCTCCCATAGGAGCGAGTTGCTGCTGTGGCAGCAGCCAACTAACCAGCTGCAGAAAGCCACTGCAAATGACCAACAAAGCAGCATTTGCTACCAAAGTACCAAGCATGGTTGTCTAAGGGAGGGTGCTTAGATGTCTCAGACTCTGGGTGGAAGCCCTGAATGGGCCAAATAGCTTCCCACACAGATTCCGCCAGCTTGGCACCCACCACAATCCACCCCACGGGTTAGAAGTGAGAGACAGCGATAGAGAAAGGGACTAAAACCAAGCTCAGCGTCACCTTTAGGAAACCTCCAATGGCAGGCAGGTGTTGCTGAAAGGGAGACCCGGCTTTTCTCACCAAGATAATCACCAGTACATCCTGTTCAAGACATTGCTTGTATCACTGCAGCAGGAACACAAAAAGCTCCTGGTGTTCTAAACAACTATTATAGTTGTTTTTTGTTTGGTTTGGCTTGACTTGGCTTTGCTTTGTTTGGCAGTGCTAGGGATTGAACCTAGGGCTTTGGCTCTGACATACATTTCCGGGCCTTTTTTTTTAATTGTGAAAAAGGTCTCACTAAGTCACTAAATTTCCCAGGCTGGGCTCAAACTTGAGATACTCCTGCCTCAGCCTCCCAGTGTGCAGGGATTATAGGCACACACAACCATATGAAGCTTGGTACTGTAGTTCTTACACACAGTACGATGAATATCTATTGATGGACTGTACCTTAAAATACAAATCAGCTACTTCAATTCACTTAATTGAACCACTTATGATCACATCTCTATTATAAGCTGGTTGGAGTAGTTTTGCTTATGCAGTAACCTTTAGTACTGTTCTAAAATTCTGCTCCTCCAATGATGAGAACAGTTCAATGATGAACTGAATTCATATCAGGAAAACAAGCACGACCAGCTTGTCCAGGAGAATCAACAGCACCCAGATCTTCCCCTCCAAGTTCTGCACTTATGCTGTTAGCAACAACCCTGAGGTGGGCCTCCCAGCCAGCTCCAGGCTGATTCAGTTCAGCTGGGTGTTAAGAGTTGACCATTGGTTAATCCACATGCTGGACCACGTCCTACTGTTTTTACTCTGTGTGGTTCCGAGACTGCAAACTTGGGCAGCAGGGGTGTATGTAACACAAAACAGAGTGGCACAAGGGATTTGGAAAGCTGACCGCTAGGATGTTAGGTGTCTTCCATTAATTTTAAATCAGCAGGAAATATATGCCAGTAGGTGTCTTTCTGTAGGGACTAAGCACTGTACTTGCTCAACTGACTTCTGAGTAGAGCATCCTTTACCCTGGGACAAAGGGCTGTGTGCTTTTGCCAGCAATGATTTTGGGCTTGCCCTCATGCCCCTCTGCTGTAATAAGCTGGAGACTTATTTCCTGCAAGGGATCCATAGCAAAATGACAGCACTCACATAGCAGATGCTTGGTGGCTGGAACTTACAGGCAGAGCCTTTCTCCTCGATGTCAACAGGAGCTGAACCAGGCAGGGGACCTCAGTGATCCTCCTCTGAGATGCTGTGAGCCTGACACTGATTTTGTGATGCTGAAAGGTGGAAAATGAAATAGTAAAAGGTGACAATGCAGAAGCTTTGATATCAGACAAACTGGCCCAAGTCCTAGTGCTCATTCATGAATCCCATAAACAAAATTTTTTTGAGCCTCAATTTCCTCATCCATAGAAAATAGGAGTAATAGAAATAAGCTGTCCTGTATGAGAATTAAATAAGACACTGCATGTTACCCAGGAAGCATGGAAGTGATCCATCTCACATCCAGGTCATGCGCATTTAGTACATGGTCAATAAATGCATTATGAATCAAAATGCTTCACCCACAGTCTCTACATGGCTTCTTTCCTTGGAATTCATGCTATTAATTCCACACTAATAACAGGCAATTAAGAAATTTAGTCTCATTAGTTCCTTTTACCTGACATGGGTTAAGATAAAAACAAACAAACAAAAATACACCCAGTGATCTCATTACCAGGCTACTGTTTTGTCTCCTTCCTGGGCCAGCTAGCACATGTCTGATTCCTGAGTCTGCCCTTTGGGACAGACCTGTCCTCTCTACAGTGAGGACTTATGGTGTATCTATTCATTGCATACACGCAATAGAACAGCATATTTCAAAGGGGGAGCTATTGCTTTGATTTAATGAGGAGACTTAAGGTACTTTCCTAAACAGAGAACACACATTCTGTTTAAACATGCATGGTATAGTTATAAAACTTAAAGTGTTCAACTACATAGGAAATCTCACCATATTATCCAAAGTAGAAATCATACGGCTCCATTTTCTAGTTTTTTTGTGGGGAAAAAAGATATCCCTCTCTTCCTCACTCTCCCCCCAAAATCATTAATCATTGAAATGCTTTTTAAAAATTTTTCCTTATTCATCATAAGGTTCCTAGCTAAGACCATTATAACAAAAGAGAAATTAGTAAGAACAAAGCATACAAATGTCTAATCAAGAGTTTCATGTGACAACAAGGCCTTCAGAACTGAAGAGTCAAAGAAACAGTGAAACCTGTGTATTTTTATGCTTCAGTTTGATGAAAAGTGGACAGTTGTGTCCAAGTGTGATGTGGAAGATCTTCTGTAATAAACTGAGGCATGCTTTGTGTGGCCTGTGTTCAGATTCTTCTCAGTATAGCATTACAATATTGCTTCTTCCTGGGGCACCTGTCACTGAGGGTTCTTAAGGGAGAAAACAGGGACAAGATGGGAGTGACCCTTCTTGGCTTTGCTGTCTGCTTCAGGATGGGTGAAAGACAGAGTGAATGTGTGTGTGTGTGTGTGTGTGTGTGTGTGTGTGTGTGTGTGTGAGAGAGAGAGAGAGAGACAGAGAGAGACAGAGAGAGAGAGAGAGAGAGAGAGAGAGAGAGATAGGAGGGGAGAGAGAGAGAGAGAAAGAGACAGAGACTTTCCTGATTCTGCTGTTTCTATTCCCAGGTTCCACATTTTGGGGTACGGTGTCCTGAGTTTCACATATCCTATTTCTTCCTTTCATCCTTTCATTTTGATTTAGTTTATGTGACTGGCCCTTTCTGGTCTTTTGACTGAATACCTAGTTTATTTTGGTCATCACTCCTGATTTTTCAATAAATACTTTTATTTTCATTTTCATTTTTGGTACCAGGAATTGAGCTCAGGACCTTGCGCTTGGCAGGCAGGTGCTGTGCCACTGAGCTACACCCCTGGCCCAATAAATACTTTTAAGACTAAAAATTATCCACTCAATTCAATTTTAACTGTGTCCAAGTTTTTTCTATATATTGATTTTGTTATCTTTCATAACTGAACAGTTCATAATTTTATACTTTTATTATTTTCTATCCAAGAGTTGCTGCTGTACAGGTCTAGGGGTCAGAAGCCTCAGCTGCATTTCTCTGGGCAAGAATCAAGTGGTGGCAGACCTCTGCTTGCTTCCACACCTAGCTCTAGAGGACATTCTGTTTTTTCCTTCCCTTTTCAGTAAGCAGTGGCCGCCCTCACTCCCTCTCTCCTGGCTCCACCCCTTTGAGGGGAAAGCCAGCAGGGCTGAGCTGAGTCTTTCCCACGTTCCGCCCCCTCACGCTAACACTGCTCCCCCTCTCATGCACACTTAGGGACACTAGATCCGTCTTGATAATCCGGGACAATTAGTGACCTTAATTCCATCTGCAACTGTGATGCAGCGTATTCATAGGTACTGTGAACTGGGACTTGGACACTTCAGAAAGATCATTATTCTGCCCACCACAAGTTTACACTTTTCTAAACTATGTGCACTTGTTAACGTACAAATATGTATTACTTTTATAACTTAAAAGTATCTGATAGTGGCTCTTGAAAGTCAAAGGCATTAAATATAATTTTATAATGATAAAAAATGTGATGTTCCAGGATTAGGAATAAATATTCCATAAATGGAAAATTCCCAAAGACCCGCCAACCTGGAGACATATATAAGTGGAATATGGCACTAGACTCGGTATTTTTCAGGCCATAGAAGAAAATGAATGGGACAACTCACAAGAGGTTACCTGAGATGTTACTGGAGGTGAAAAGTGTGACCTTTATTCATACCATACTCATGAATAAACCTCATGAGGGTTTGCAAAACCTTGAAAACTTGCAAGAACTTGAAAAAAATTAAGTAGTGGAAAAAGATGTAGGAAAACATACCTATAATCTTAGGTAGTGAAAGCCTTCCTTATACCCTGGGCCTTATGCAGCAGTCCATAAAGCACAAGTTAATAATATTAAGACAAAACAAAGGCAACAGGCTGAGAAAACAATACTTGGTAATGTATGTTCAAGAGAAGCAGAATCCATAATCAATAAAGATCTTTTGTGATCTGACAAAAAGGCAGTCCTAAAGGAAACTGAACAAAAGACATGAACAGCCCGGTTCTCAGAAGAAATGTGATGGCAATAAATATGTGAAATCACACTCAACTCATTAATTAGGAAAGTTAAGTTATAAGTTAAAAAAGAAGTATTTCTCTCGACACAATATGTTCACTAAAAGTACAGACACTGATGTGCTAAGTCAGGGTTTGAAGCAAGGTCCTGATGCTGATTATTCACAATGGTAAAGTCAGTTTCCTGATATGAAAATAGGGATGATAATAATACATCTTAACTCTGAATTATGATAATGATGGAAGGAGTTACTACACGTAACGTGTTCTGAATAAGGCCTGTGCAGAGTAGTCACTCAGTAATGGTGATTCCATACTGTATTATGACATAAGCACAAAGATGCTCACCTGCACATGCTACAACACACACACTGGCACAGAAGTTCACCAAGTATCATCTGCTGCAGCAAAAACTGAAAGACCATGAATGACATTAACAGGCAACAGACAGATAAATTTTGAACCTTTAAGATACAGAATAACAAAACTAGCCATTAAAAAGCATGAAGATTATCTGCAGCACCAATATAACAAGATTTCTACAATAAATTAAGTGAGAAAAAAGCAAGTCACAGACTTCTACAGAATTCTCTATATTCTTGAATATATACACATAAATAGATATGCATATATGTTCACATATGATACACACAGGAAATGTTACAGAAAGAGTCCAAACTATCACCAAAGGTGGCCACCACGCAAGGATTTGATTGTGGCAGAGGGTCAAAGGAAAAACTGATCAAGTAAACTGTATTTTTCTTTTAAGGGAATTGAATATTTTAAAAATTATTTACAAATTGATAATAAAAACATGGTCAATTAGAGTAAATTATTAAAAAACAGACACAATGACAATGGTAAGAAGAAAATTATGAAATTGTAACTTTTTTCTAAGAAAAGTTAGACTGGCAAAGGAATTAGTCTAGTCATGCTTCAAAGAATGTCAGTTCAGTGATGGGTTTTCAAATACTTCAGATGTAGGTTAAGAATGTGAAAGCCGTACATCTCGAAGGACACTCTATAGTAAATAGTCTCCATTCATTGCTTCCATTGTACATAATATTTTGCTAAGTTTTACATCTCCAGGAAAGTAATGTTTGCAAACTCAAACCGTGGGCCTTCAATATCACTTTAGATGACATAAACAAATTAAAATAAGGCCAATGTAAGTCAGTTGTGTTTATCAACCTGATCCCCTCTGAAAAGGAGAAATGAAGGCAAATACCCTTTAATACTATTTATTAGTGGAGTAATATAATACATTTTGACAAGTTGAACAGTTGTAACAGGCGGCTGTTAAAATCTCTACAGGGCCTGTTTAGAATGAAAACAGGAGTGAGAGACAGCTCTATAACTGGGTTTTAAGAACAGCTCAGCCATCAACTATATCCTAAGCAAGTACTTTTATCCAGTTAATTTACGGAGTGAATCCCTTAGGGTCTCCAGCTGTCTACCACTGCAGCTCATTAGAGCCCAATATCCAACTTTTCTTATTGTAGCACTGAAAGCTTGTATGCTTAAAATGTAATTAAACTTAAAACAAACAAGATCTTTATTCCCCGACAGTCCTGCTCTTTTTAAATTGACAAAGGCATGAACTTATATAGGATTATTTAGAAAGCACTATACGTTTCAGCCACTTATGGCAAGACATTTGCCCAACTGTTCATCCCGCATGCAATTAGAAATCTAAATACTTGGGTAACGGGTTTCTATTGGGAATTAAACTTGCAGATCTCTTACAAACGGGTAATGTGGTAAGACTTGCTGTCCAATGAGGTGTCTTATTGAAATATCCCAGGCCGTTTCACTTGTCACAGCTGTCGTTTCAGCCGCCTGCACTCACAGTGTATAGCTTTCATTACGAAAATAGAAATTTGTGTCCTAAGTGCTGTTACATTACTAATGCTAAATATTTAATTCCCTGGGGTTCCAATTATGGTTGAGCACTGGCAACACTGATTCTACTTTTTAATAACAACTGTAAAAGCAATTTGAGCATTTTTCAATTAATTAAATACATAGTGAACGAGTAACCTCTTGTCATTTTGCCCTCCAGGACCTGAGCTAATTGGTGCAGAATAAAATGTTTTGAAAATTAACTGATATTCTGTTCTGCACACTGTTATACC